ACGAGGTCCGGGCACATTTGCTTGGCCTCGGTGACAGTCATGAGCTTCCTAAGGCCCAGGGCGCGGGCATTGTAGTTACATGTTGCCAGACAGTTCTTCTGCTTGACCCCCACGGGGAGTTTCTTTAGTGCTGGGTTCTTGTTCTCGAAGACTTGGGCATAGAAGCAGTCGTAGTCCTATGGGATTATGGTGAGCGTCAGCAGCCTGGTGAGGCAAGGGAAAGCGCGAGCATCGGAGCATGAGACGCACAAATTGCAGGATGACTCGGTCATCCTTCCGTCTAGGTGGTTTCTTCCTGGGCGGATCCATTGTATAATTACTTGTGAATGGGCTGTCTCGGGATGGAAGAGAGTGTGTGAGCGGGTTGGCGCGGGATGGCGAAACCAACACTGCGACACACCCGCAGGATCTCAGCCGAATCGGGCGTGTCTATGATTCGTGCTGCTGGGAAACAAAGAAAACCCGGACCTAATTAGGCCAGGCTTTTAACGACCAGGAAGACAAAGAATGCGGCGGAGCAGAGAGAGCCAAGCTCGCGGAAACCTCAATACGACGGGTTCAGTTTCACGATGTGGGAAGATGCCAAGCACGACCACCTCCTCCGGCCTTAGGCAGCTTTCTTTCTGCTCCCCTCCAATGCGGCCACTCCGCTTACCCACCGACTGCGCTTTCACCCTGCGAAACACACCCCGTTGTCGTATTCTCGACAGATCCTTGTCGCGACGACTCCGACGAGCCGGAGACGAGAAGAAGAAAAAACTGCAGCGCCTAGGTTGATGTTTCTCGGTATTGGGGAAATGTGACGCCTTCGGACGGTTAGCCCAATGGAGATGGCAGCGGCTTGTTGCTGATGCTGCACGTACACCGCCAAACCGACGCGAGAGTCAGGCGCCCGCAGTTCCAACTTCCATGGTCTTCGGCGCTATCTGCACGTGATGTCGTGGGTCATCTCAAGAGGAGAGACTAGTAGCTGCGAACAATGTCAAAGTCCAAATAAACGCGCTGGCTCGGCTCGCAGCGATCCCGGAGCGGTCTCTGTACGCCCGTTCCGCGTCTCGGCCCCAAACGAATCGTCATTTCTCCCCCGCTCTGACCCTTGCCAAGACGAACACACTGCTGCTAAGTTCTAACGGCTAGCCCAAGGCCGGGCGAGTTTCTGGTCGCCAGTGCTGGTGCTGTTTGGCCGTGGCCACACATCGTTTCGCTGTAACCGCCCATGAGAAGCCCGGCGCCGGGCCACCAAAGAAAATCGAGAGGAGGATGAGCCCGCGTTCAGTGGGCTGCAGCGTGGCGGCCCGCGGGGACAGGGATTCGCTCTTCTTGGGTGTCTGCGCTCTGAATCTCTAGCGTCTTTTGTCTTCTGCAGGTCATTCCTGTGACATTTCGCTTCGATGGAGGACCTGGGAGGTCGCAAAACAACAACACCTCATTTCGGACTCGAGCAGAGCCACACAGTACAGTGCGATGGGCTACGTACGCCGACAATCAGCCCTAGTCGGGCCAGGTATACGGTGCACTTGGTACGTAATGTCTTCCCTGGAAGTTCCTACACGAGTCCGAAACCGAGGCACGGGGAGCTGGGGCTTCAGAGCTTAGACGATGTTTCTTTTTACAGGGTGCTAATAAGGCTGAGCAGATGCCGCCACCTTGCCATGGCCCCTCTATTACGCGTCCCATGGCGAATTGCGGTCTCCGTTTCCCGACTGAAACCTCGACCTGGGACGCCACCGCACTGTACGAAGACAAAGACAAGAGACAGAGCCAAACAAAGGCGGACCAGCCACTCATCGTGATGACCCCTCACAAGCAAGCCGCCAGGTCGTCTAAGGAGCCTCGGGAGGGTTGCCATCTTGAATAGACGCCAGCGCGAGTGGAACAGCCGACCTGTTAGCCGCGTGATTGGGTCTGTTCCCAAGAGGTGACTAGGGTGAGCCCCTCAAACTGGGCGCTTGCGCCTTCACACGGCATCCCATCATAAGCCTCGAGCAGCCAACCACAGACACTGCCCGCTCGTCTTCCCCGGCACCCCCCCTCAGCACCCCGTCCCTTCCGCGTCTACAGAGGCGTGTGCTCTGTGAGCCATTATCACACTGCATGCATGGCTAGGGGCGCTTGCCATGGACAGGCCATGTATGGATCGACCCGGACTTGTCCAGCATGGTCGTTCCTGGTCGACCTCCCCAAGTGCGAGCTGCCCCATGCCCGTACGAGGTAGTCTACCTACCTATATAGCCGCCGAGTCCCCGTTTCCCACTGTTGGCACGGTTGCTTCTACTCCTGCCTGAGACTTGACATTGTTTTGTGGTTTGTGATCCCTGGAGGTTCCGGTTCCAGTCTCTCGGGAACAGCACGCACAACTAAGCCCTGCTAGACAGTGGTAGTTTGCTGATCCAGAGACCCTTGTGGTGGAGGAATCTTATTTCTCTCATTTTCGCTTCCCACTCAACAGCCTCCCTCATCCAACTATCCCATTACCAAAAGGAAGCCAACAACCACAGCCATGGCTTTTCAGCAAGCCCCATCTAAGAAGCCTCGGCTCTCACTCCAGATAAAGACTTCATGCAGCCCGGCCACGAAGTCGTCAAGGAGCTATGCCGTCGATCCCAGGGACCCGACTGCTTTCAACACCCTCTCCAACGTCTATGTTACCGCCATCGAGAGGTCGACGCCTATCCATGGGGAACCCCTCACCGCCATCAATACCCTCCAGGCCTTCACTCTGAACACCCCGGTGGAATATCAGGACCCCAAATTCCGCGTGGTGACTCCCTATGTTGCCTCATACCCCGAGACGCCCTTGACCGCCCACCCTACCTCACCTCAGCCACTGGAGATCAAATATCCCAGCGCCATGACGGCTACTCCTCCCTTGTCCGCGGGTCCTGTTGAGCCAAATGCCCCCAAGGCCTTCAGCTTCTCTGTCGCTGATGTCTCGGCCAACGCTGCTGAGCAAGGCAAGGATGGTCGATCAGAACATCAGGCTCCTACTCGCCGACATGCTCCTCAGAACCTCACCGGCTTGGGGCTCCAGCCCCCCTACACTCATCCACGAACGCTTCACAGCATCCTCCGCAACTCACCTCTCCCTCCACCGTCTGCGGCTCCACCACCTTCGCCCCGGCGGCAATCTCGCCGTCTTCTAGAGAAGGCAGCCAAGAGGGTCGGTTATAACAACCCCCTGACACAGGACATCGTCACCAACACATACACCAAGTCGCACATCGACCTCCTTGTGGAGGAGGCGTCGCCTCGCTCTCCGCCTTGTGTCCAGATACCTCCTCAACCTCAATCGTCACTTGACTTGGCTCTGGCCTTCCATCCCAATGAAATCGAGAATGGCGGTCAAACCCCTGGACCCTTTGAAGATATGCGGCGCCGAATGGCCGGCTTGGGCAACAGCATGCCAGCCTCGCCCACGGGTTCTGGGGGCATTCGAAAGCGCAAGAAGAAGGAAAAGAAGCGGCGTTGGGTGTGGACTATCGGACAGGACGACGACGAGGACGAGCACGCCGGTGGCTCTATTTTCGCCCTCCGAGCCGAGGGAACAAAGGCTCTCACCGCAGACAACATCAAGACGCCTCTCACTGCCGTCCCAACCCTGCAAATACCACAAATGCCGGATCTCAAATATCTGGAGACGCCAACTCCGAGCATTGAAAGCAATGAGTCGTGGAGCGATCGCCACGATATTGAGATGTCCGATTCAAGCAGCTGCATCTCGGAATACGACGACCGAGGCCTCACCCCGAATCAGATGGACCTAAACCTCAAGACCCCAATTGCTCCGCAACGTCCTTGTCTTGCGACCCAGGGGGTGAATCGGGATACACCAGTTCCTCCAGAGCTGATGCCCCACAGCAACAACTCGCAGAATTTGCCAAACAGAGACACGCCTGTACCAGCATGCTTGCTGTAGAGAGGTCAACTTTAGGGTGAGGAAAGGAGAGAATCGCGGGTGGCGCTTTTGGTGTTTGGTTTGGAGCATGCGGCCAACAGTCTCAGGACATGGCAATGGCGTTTTCTATTTTTCTTTACTGGACATGGATCTGGGGAGTTTCTTTCTCACGTAACCTTGTAGATACCATTTTCGCGGCGAGGCATTCATGAGCAACGATTTGGTTAAAATGGGTGGATGGGGTGGCGTTTGGTCTTTTTAATATTACATGAAGAATGAATACACGTCTTGACAAAAGCATCTTCTCAGTATTGTGTGTAGGTGTTTTGATGATGCTGCAGTCGTGATGTAAGTTATAAGCAGGGAGGACAAGGACGAATGGGACGAAAGACAAGTATTATACTTTTGTATTGGAGGTTTATCCCGAGGTTGATCTGTGAAAAGGCAAGGCACTCCGCTCGTAGCATGGTAAACTGCCGCGGGCCGTGGTTAGGGTGGGGGGGCCAACTTAGTTGCAAATCTTGCGCTACATCTCAACAACCACCATAGTCCGGTATGGTGTAATGGCTAACATTTCGCGCTCTCATAACCTGAGAGATCAACTTGATCCGCGGAGCTCAGGGTTCGATTCCCTGTACCGGAGTGAATCTTTCATTTTTGACCTTTTTGACCTTTTCCACATGAGATGTGGGATTCGCGTCAAACATCGGGTATATCGCATAGCGTGCGTGGTTGGTGACCGACTTATTTGTCTTTGCGAATTGCTTAAGTTCGTATAATGTGCAACAACTAGAACTAAAGGAACTAAACGCAAAGCAAGTAATTAGCAACCTTCTTACACCAAACCTCCTCCCTCGTATGCTTCTCTAACACCAGCCCGGAACTAAGCAGTGTGTGTATTCCTTCATTTGTTTACCAAGTACAATCAGCAAGCAATAAGTTAACTGCTAGTATACAATTTGTTCCTAGCAAGAGAAAAAGACAGCATCATTATGCCTCCCTTCCTTCCTCCCTCCTATCGTTTTGAGAGACTCAGTGCGTACGGAGTTAGATGAACGAAAAAAAAGAAAAGGAATTCCAATCAGAGGCAAAAATATAATTGAGACTCCGGTACAGGGAATCGAACCCTGAGCTCCGCGGATCAAGTTGATCTCTCAGGTTATGTATGAGAGCGCGAAATGTTAGCCATTACACCATACCGGATTATGATTGGCTGTTCATATCTTTCTCGCCGACAGAACATAAGATATTGCTGATGGTTAGTAGACAGGTAAGTACTGTGTGTACATATGGCGAAGAAGTTGATATAAAGTGAAACGTCCTGTTCAGTATACAGTGTGACTTGGTTTGAAGTGGTTGGACTTGAGCAAGGTTTGCGGAGTGATGAAGGACTGTAGACATCAAGGTGCATCTCTCGTGACAGCACTTGGGAACATCTCATAATCGCCCATACAGAAGAGCCAGCTGATACTGTATGGGTGCAGATAAGTCAAGCATGACGGAGTCGATTGCAACGCTCAGACCCTCACAGTATCTCGGACAGAGTATCATTCGTCTTTAGTTTGCGAAACTACCATCTATGCCTTTAGCTCTCCACGCCTAAGGCCTTGGCTCCCACGAGCTTCCCGTCCTTGGACGACACCAGCCAGTACTCGACCCTCGTCGCATCTCGCACAACGCGATACACCCGCACATCGTTGCCCGCCGTCGCCTGCCGCACCGCTTCTATCACGTCGGTATACTGGCCCTTGGCGTCCCAGATGAGCGGGTCTTCGATCGAGATCTCCGCGTCGGAGCCGGAGGGGTGGTTGATGAGCGCTGCGAACTCGGCTAAAGAGCGACGTTAGCAAAAGGAGCCCTTTTTAGGGGCGTGAACTGTGGGGGCGTCGAGATCTTACACTCGGTCGGCAGCGTGTTCTTGCCATCCCACTTGAGGGAAACCTCCTCGAACGGCTCGTCCGCCTCGCTGATGTAGACCGCATCGCGACACACATTGCGGATCTCCTTGGGCACCTCGCTGCCCTCATCCTTGGCTTTCAGGGTTACCTTGCCTTCGCTCTGTGTCGTCGCACCGCCAGTGTCCTGGTTCGCCTTGTTTAGGAACGCCATGTAGTCATCGTCGCTCGCCATCTTGAGAAATCGAGTGCCGCTGAGGTGTCGGACGTTGTAAGTGGAGGGTGGCAGTTTGATGTTTCGAGACGTCTTCGTCGATAGTCTTGTCGGGACAGAGACAAACTGGGTTCTCAGGAAACGGGCTGCGGTATGTATGGGTGTCATGGAGGGGATTCGAGACATCGAGGTGGGACAGGGCTGCTTGTTTTGTCCAGCTTGGAGCGGGGGTGACGTCAGGTTTGGCAAAGCATTGTGGTTGGCGGTTGGAGGTTGGCAGCCACTAAGTACCTACTACAGTAGCGGATCGAGTCTTGGATCACGGGAACAACCCACCAACCACTCGGTATCCAAGCAACCAAGGTACTCATGCAACGGATGTGCGTCCATCAACATGACGGCGTCATCGCCTAGTGCCAGGTCACCAAACCGTCAAATTGTGCTTCTAATCCTTGATACACTCCATGACGAAACCAAGACACATCTCAGACAGCATGTACAAGTTAGTCATAAATGCTCCCACCACTTCACGTTTCAACACCAGAACGAAAAGCATCTTCACAGCAATAGCATGGTACTCAAGGGCATTCACCAAAACGAACAGGCGAGTCAAATTAACATTGGGAATCTCGTTAGAATTTTTTGATCCATCCCTCTAGCTGGATTTTTTTCACCTTCATGCCAGTATGAAACCTAACCCAGCCCAAACGTAAGGTGAACGAACCAACCCTCGACACCGATGCAATGGCCATAACAAAGAAAGGAAATTAGCTGCCGCTTTAAGCGGAGGCAAGATCCTTCTTGAGAGTACCCTGGTACTGCTTCTTCTCCGCAGGGGTCTGGAAAGCACCGTGACCGAACTCGGAAGAGGTGTCGATCCACTTGAGGCTGACCTTCTCCAGGGCCCTTCGGGAGGTGTGGATGAACATGGACTTGCGGAGAGTCATGACACGCTTCTTGGTACCGGGAATGGAGCCCTTGACCATGACAAAGTCGTTGTTGACCTCACCGTAGCGGACGAAGCCACCCAGACTGCAGATGACAGGTTAACAAAACAGATTCTTCCAACACATACAAATCCAAAGGGGGGGAGAAACATACGGGGTGATCTTCTTCTTGGTGACATCAATCTCGGTGGCGGCGCTGTCCTCAGCATCACCCTTGCCAATTCGGTAAATCTTGTGGTTGACCGAGGTTCGGTGGTGGTATCCGTCCTGACCGGCACGGGCGACGGTCCACTGGACGTGGGAAGGATGCCAAGCACCGATACAAGCGACCTTTCGGAGACCCTTGTGAGTCTTACGAGGAAGCTTCTTGGTGCCCCATCGAGAGGTGACACCGCTGAAACCGTGACCCTTGGTGACAGCGATGACATCGATCATCTCGTCCTGCTCGAAGATGGTGTCGATGGACACGGGCTTCTCGAACAGCTCCTGGCCGAAGGCGACCTTGTCGGCAACGGAGCCACCGTTGACCTGGATCTCCATAAGGTGGGCCTTCTTCTGCTTGAGAGGAGTCTTGCGGATCTGGGTGTGGGCGAGGACACGGACGACGGTGCAGTACTTCTTGATGCGCTCGAGCTCGCGGGTGATGGAAGCACCGCTGTTCTCGGAGTGCTTCTTGGCATACTTGGTGAAGGCCTTCTTCTTGCTCTTGTACCAGTTCTTGTAGAATCGGCGCTTGAGCTCGTCGCTCAGATGCTCGGCCCACACGGTGGTGAGGGATCGGAGACCACGGGGAGTCTCGATGTAGCCCACAAGACCAACAACGATCATCTAAAAGATGTTAGCCATAGGCACATAGCCAAGCGGGCTGCATTGTTCGTACAGGTGGGGTATCGACGATAGAAACCGCCTCCACAACTTCCTTCTTGTTCGCCTTGGCGCCGGGTCGGTCGAGGTCACGGACGATGGTGGTCATGCCGGCCTTGTAGCCCATTGCGGCCGTCAGGTGGACGGGCTTCTTGGCGTCATCCTTGGGGAAGCTGTTCAATCAATGCGTCAGCCAATGTTTCTCTCGAGTGATTGGGATGCCAGAAGATTTTTTTTCTCTCTGGTGATCTACTCACGACTTGACCTTTCCGCGGTGACGGGCAGCGCGCTTCCTGGGCAGGTAAGCCAGGGAGCCGTGGCGAGGAGCCTCGTACTTTCGGTGCTATTGATAGTCAATCTCTGGGAGAAGGCATTGTTTCTATCGCCAACTTACACTCATTTTGGGCGGGCTGTGTGGTGTGAGGGGGTTAGTATGAAGTTGACGAAGCCTGCGTGGTGTTAAAAAGAGTAGAAGGGTTGAGAAATAAACTGTGGGTGAAATTTTAAGCGAGTGGGTGGTCCGTGCGTTACTCACATTTTGCAACCCGCACCAGCACATCCTGACCGAGAAAATATTAGCTTAAGCAGCCCTAAGGTAAAATTGACCACTCACCAAGAGGCGAGAATGCAAGCGTCTGGTCACGTGATCCTGTACCACGTGGAGTGTTGACGCTCATTCCATCGTATGGGTTAATCGTTGGTTGGTGACTTGAGTGTGTACGAATTCGCTTCGAAGAAGACATGCATACATCAAATGGTGTAAATACTAGTTATTCAGTACTATGGTAAAGGAACTAAGACGGATACCGTTCGCTGGTGACATCGTAACCAAGAAAGACCGTAACCCCGGGATTGACAATACTTTGGTGTCTTTGGCAAGACAAAAGAAACCAGGCCTCCAAAAGTGGTATACAGGTAAAGGAAATTATAAAACGATTTGACACATCAAAGACTCTTCAACTCGTAAGCAGCCCAATTCCAGCCCTTATTCAACTTTTGGTGTAGGACCCGAGACGCCATTGATGGCGGCACTGGCAGGTGTGGATGTCTTTACGTCGCTGGCGTTGGAGGCGGGGCCAGATCCGTTCGTGACGATCCCCGCCTTCTTCTCATCCTCTCCGCTGTCATCGTAGTCCTCGTCAACCTCCATCTTTCTGGCTGCCCTCTCGGGCTCAACGGAAGGAGGGGCCGGACGAGGAGCCGGAACATGCTCCAGAGTTTGAGACCGCTCCTCCTTAGGGGTTTGCACGGCCGGAGGTTTGTCATGAACCGGAGGTAGGGAGCTGGGACCTTGCTGCATCGGCGGAAGATGAGTAGGTCCTGGCGCATGGCTAGGCGGGTGATGGGCAGCATCAGAAGGGTGATAGCTGTCAACAGGGTGACGCGGTGGCTCCTCCGGCCTCCTAGACTCCTCGGGGCGGCGTTGCTCTTCCACTCGGCGTGAGTCCTCCACTCGTCGAGCTTCCGATGAGTTGCGGCGGTAAGAATCACGAAGAGGACTAGAAGCCCTTCGGTGGTGCATGTCGTCAAGACGAGCCCGATTCTCTTCATTTGCCTGCTTCTTGGCCACTGACTCCTCCTCCCACTCGCGCATTCTCTTTGGGCCGACGGAAGGTGGACGATCATCCATCCGCATGGCCGTATCAACCACAGGAGGGGGAGGAGGAGGGCCGGGGGGTCCTGGGGGACCCGGAGGACCAGGAGGTCCCTGTGCTCCATTTTCAGGAGGTCCCTGAGCCGGCATCTCCGGGTGGTGGGGGTACAGCGGGGGAGGCGCCTGGTGTTGGGGATACGCGGACTTGGGAGACGGCATCCGGTTGTCGTGAACCAGTCGGCCATCGGGGCGAGGGCTGTTAGTCGGCCGGAAAGGGGCCATGCCGTTGGGAGTGTTGGCTCCGTTGGGGTTACCAGAGGGGGGCGCAGATGCGGACGGCGTAGCACCACCCCAGTTAGGGTTGGCGACACGGCGCTCCGAGACAGGAGCTGGAGGCTGAGATGGCGGGGGGGGAGGAGGAGGAGGCTGCGAATACTGGTGAGCCTGAGGTGGGGGACTGCCTCGGCGCGTAGGTCCCGGCCGGGGGTCGTTGTAGGGCTGTCGCATTTGCTGTTCCTGTTGAGGGCTCGGTTGGCGCTGCAAAGGGGGAGCAGGCCCCCCACGGAAAGGCTCCCCGCGCGACTCATAGGGGTTCGGGGGTTGGGGAGGGGGGTTGATGTTAGAAAGACGACCAGCCCAGTTCTCTCCCGCTCCCTGGGGAGGCGGAGGCGGGCCAGATGCAGGAGCCT